ATCCTCCCCTTGACTGCCTCGCTCCTTCACGCTCATTTTGCTATCTAACAGGCAGGCAATTAGTACACGCCAGCAGGTTACACATTTCCAGTACTTAACCTAGGCACGTCTCAGGGTGGAACAAGCACCCTGCAGGGTCGCTGCCCCACAGAACTGGGTGGGACAGACACAAGCAAACTGAGCAGGAGGAAACCATGGCCATTACCCTCCCCACCTGCCGCTGCTGCCAAGCTTGGCGTCGCAGCCCCTCCCTCACGCACGGTTACAAGAGCCAAAAGCAATTCTGGCCTCAAGCCCACCACCACCCCACCCTTGGCACAGAGGCAATGCCATCCAACGCCAGTGGATCCGACTCCTGTCCACACCCAGGAGGTGTGTTGGTAGCAAGGCACGTCTACTGAAACCATACATCAGATGCTGAACAGAGCTAGGTGCTGTCACCCTGGAGCCGATGAGACAGTGCAAAAGCAGGCACCTTCACTTAGCTTCTGCCTGCACTAAAACATGGGGTACAGAGGAAGGGTAGAGTAAGCAGAGGCTTGGAGGGAAAACATCTACCCTGGAAGGGCTCAGCCATTGCCAGTGAAGGGCAGAGGGCGGCCAGAGGTTCAGAGCAGATGTGCACTGCTTCCGCAAACCACAAGGAGAGAGAGAAAAAAACCCCAGGTGATGCTCACGGCGATGCCACCTCCCTGAACTCCAAAGGATTTCCACGCAGCCGCCCAAGCAGATGGCACGGAGCAGGGCACTACCCTCGGCAGAGCTAGGCAAGGCAACCACCGGAGACGGATACAGCCGCAGGGCACACGGAGGGTCCCGGGACACCCAGCTCCCTGCCCGTAAACCAGGCAGACAACAGGAGGATCCTCAGCAGAGCTGCTGCAGAAGAAGGAAACGTGCCACGACGTGCCGAAGCGCCTGGTCCCTCCGGAGAGGGGCAGCCCAGAAACTGCAAAGTCAGTTCATGGCGCAATGGTCTGCAGGAGCAGCTCGTTAAGAGCTGAGGGCAAATGAAAGAGCAAATCAGGCAGCAAGATGCCGCTCTGGTGGGTAAAGTATGAGGGTGGAGCTGAGAAATGGGGAAGCAGCAGCCCGCTGGACCCAGGCAGCGAGGCCGTTTGCGCAGGAGAAAGGACAGTATCTATGGTACGTGCTTTTAAAAGAAAGCAAGCCAGGGGAGATGGTATGCACATCAATGAACGTGGGCAGGGAAGGTGAAAAAATTGTGCCACACAGAGGAGATTCTGGACTTGCTTTCAGAAAACGTTATCTTCCAACTGAAAATGCAGACAGGTCCGACCCATTCGTTGTACTGCAGGTGTGAGGGTCGATAGCTGCTGAACGTGGATTTCCCGTGAAGTTACCCATCCTAACCCTGCACCTCCAAAATCAGAGGGAAGCGCTGTCTTGCCCCAGTGACAGGCCAGCTCACAGCGCAGGTGACAGCCTTTAAACGCCACGCACAAGAGCTCTGAGGAGATAGCTGGCTCTCCTGCCGTGCCAGCGTGTACCGTGAGAAGGGAGAGGCTGGGTTGCACATAAATCCCCCCCCCTCCGCATTCATAACAACCGCCCTGTCACAGAGCTGCTCTTGGGTTTGCTCTCCTGACCCACTGCCCGCTGGTTTCCATCAGCTTTGGAGCAAGCCCTTCACGTAGCTGTTTCACATCACGACCTGCTGGAAAATCGTCTCCCTTCAGGGACAGAGCAGTCTGCTCCTGTTGTGTCCCTGCAGCCCTGTAACATGGTACTGCCACAGCAAGCAACATGTCACAGGCTTTGCAGTGAGTTTGCAAGGTCTCAGGAACGCAGCCCGCGATGCTCGCTCTGTCTGAGCTCTTCGCCTACCTGAAGATTTGTTTCGCTGCGATGCTCGCTCTGTCTGAGCTCTTCTTCGCCTACCTGAAGATTTGTTTCGCCTGGTCTAGCTGCAACAACAATTCTTCTAATTGACCAGGTAACTACGGCTAATCTTTTTTTTTTTTTTTTATGCTTCTTTATCTTTTTATGCTACCACCACAGGTTTACAACCCGAGTGTAATGAGGTAGTATAAAAAAATACAGGCTTGGTATGACAAGAGGCCTTGAGACGTGGAGGCACAGGATGTGGTGTGAAGAACGGGCCTGGGATGA